GTTATTAAGGATTCAAAGTGCCAACATGGGGGAAAATTGTTTAAATCCTCCGAAACAATAAAAATAGTAACTATAGAATATTAAAATTTATCCCATACTTGGACGTGTTTCAGGTACATAAAGCCGGTTTGTAAAAACTTGTATTTTCATCAGCGGGCAGATTATAGGAATATCCTATGGCTTTGAAAAAATATCACTTATATCCATGAATTGATATTGATATCTTTGCGAGTGAGCGCAGCGAGTGAGTGAAGATACTGATATCCATGAGTGGATATAAGTGATATTTTTGAAAAACCATAGGATTGTCCGTTTATCCCATGGGGAATTATTATCCAGAGAACATTGAATAGTCAGATAAATTTCAACATGATTTATTTATTTCAACATTTTGATTGCAATAATTCAACAAACGTCATAAACATGACGTAACAGGGTGGTTTGTATTTAATGTAAACGCCGTAAAAACTAGATCCAAATAAATAAAAAACATATAAAGAATCGTTTTGCTGAATTAATAATAAAAGATTGAAAAAATCAAAACCATCGAATATCACTTTTGAAACCATCGAATATCACTTTTAGAACCATCGAATATCACCTTTCAAAAAGTGATATTCGATGGTTTCAAAAGTGATATTCGATGGTTTGGGAATTGTTTGCTAAAATATGATATCTTCATCCACGTATCAATTATATCTTCACGTGATATTCGATCTATATCCTTGTAACCATGGGATAAATAGCTTTACGTCCCGCTCCGAGCGGGCAGATATAGTATATCTGCCCGCTACGTCATAATCGCCGTTCGCATATTTGTTCATAATTTGTAACGTTCGCGTAATGACTGTAAACGACAATGGAGAAAACACAGACAATCGGGATCTGTTTGATGGTTTGAAAAAGGGAAGGAGCATCCACTTATGGCCTAGTCACATAGCCCGGCCGATGTCCGGCATCGGTAGAGCTCGGTGGATTTTTTTGGTGCCACCGAGCTCTCCTCATCGGAAGCAGAGCTCGGTGACGTGAACGGACTCCGTCCGGACATCTTCAGGTACTATACTTTCCAAGGCTCTGTCCCACATCGGCCGGAGCTCGGTCGGAGCTCGGCCGGTGTCCGTTAAAAAAAACTCGTCCTCTGGTTGTCTCAGATGCACGGGACACCGACCGATACTCGGCCGTGCACCGGCCGACGTGTGTTCTGATGTGGTTACGATGGGGCTGCGATGAGGGAGCTCGGTGAGAGCCCGGTGAAATTTAACTCCGAAGTTAAAATTTCACCGAGCTGCCACCGATGCGGTTTTAAGCAACAAACGCCACGGATGTCCGGCCGGTGTCCGGCCGGTGTCCGGCCGGTGTTCGGCCGAGTTCGGTGAAAATTGCATCGCTGGCTCATCGGAACCTCATCGGCCGGGCTATGAGACTAGGCCATAAATCAATCAAAAATTCGAGAAAATAAATGTGGGAATATTTGAGAGGAAAATCCGGCCACGGCCAAGAAAACAAAACTGGACATGAATATTCTAAAATATGTCCACGATCGAACAATGTGAATCAGATGACCAAGATTGGTATGGGATAAACATATTATCCTATAGTTGGTTTAGGATATTGTGATTATCCCTTGGCCAATATAATATAATTTCCCTCGGGACCTGCGGCCCTCGGGCAGATATATTATATTTGCCTCGGGATAATCCCAATATCCTGAACCTCATATAGGATAATCTCTATGAATGTATTATTGTTAAGATCTTTGGTTTTCCTCAAATACAGTGTATATTGGATATTATTTTAGAAAATAGCCATAATATTCTAAAATTGAAACATTTTTGACAAGAGTACTCATCTGGATCTTGCTAAATCTGATTCTGCTTTTAAGAGCATGCCATGATTGGGGAACATATTAGGCGTAGGATCGTCTGATGTCGTACGCAGTCACCCATTAGCCCTATATTACTTTAACACACCGTTATACACGCAGATGTATTAAGAACATATAATTGATGTTACCATGGTAACATACATGTGTATAGCACTCATACAAATATTTGATTACTATTTGCGCCATAGAAAGATAGTGGTATTGAGGAATGGCACTTATTGGTACCTGATGAATGAATTCTAGGCTGAAATGTATGATCGGATTGGTGTCTAGTAATAATGTAGACTAGCGAGAAAGGTAAGTAGTGCCAAGGGACACAATTGCTTATATGTGAATTGCGATCAATTGTGTATTTCGTATAAAGACAGGAATGTTACATCGGTAATGTCAGCCAGAATCTGTAGGATCTCTATGGTTGAGAGATACGATCAAATCAGGAAATCACACTCACTAGTGAGATCTGACTTCGGTGTTTACAGTACTGATGTATTCCGTGCGGTTGTAGTAAAATCTACACGTCGAAATCGAATCTAAAATGCTACGCAAGGAAACAAAGCGTTACTAACAAAAGAGCGAATTGATGCAAATGAAAGAATAGAATTATTTATTTTGCACTTCGGGCTCAAAACATTTGATCAATATATAATGAGGTCATTATCTTAATACAACAAAAATTGTATGAACTACAAACGTATACTGTTCGACGGAACTGCCAAAAATGCAATACGTATACGGATAAGCAAGCAGAATGCTATAGCAACTTCAACATACCGTAGCGCATACTCTGTGGGAAGACGAGTCGAGAGAATCGTGTCCTGCCATACGATGTGAGTTTGATGAACAGGCTAAAAGATATACAATAGTTATAAAGAGGATTGTGTCATTTGAGGGGATACGCTTGATGGACAGTTCAACTTATCAACCTTAAAAATAATTCATTGATTCACTGAAAATATCATATAAAAACGTATATACATGTACCTAAGATTAACACGTGGTGAAATCTTTCCAATAAGATTTTGTTAAACTATTATTAACGGAACAAAATACAATCGATATAAAAAGCTTCACTATAAAGATTTTTATTCTTAAATAATATTGCCGGTTGCCAAACTAATTGCTTCCATTGCTAGAATTATCTGACGTATTATGTTAACAATTTATTTAATAAATAATAATGATAATAATTATGATATCATTTGAAATATCATTTTCTACATGTAACGTGTTGTATTGAAATGTCTGGATTCCACATTTATTAAAGTCGCGATTATTTTCCTCTTACTTATATGTTTTACTCTAATATCGAAAGATGCAAGACAATAGACTATATTGTTTGCACTTGTGATGCAACCACATTGATTCCCTAAGTAACTATTCAACAACGAACAATAAGACCCTACAGCTTAATTTATCATGGTAAATGATTTTTATTGATTAAACTTTTCAAGACTTCATTTGAAATGTCTGTATGAAAAAACAACAGTAAAACGATACCGAATGATAAGATCATTTTGCGAGGGAGGTTTTTGGGATGATTAACATCGTTAAAGAGATATTCAATTTGTAAGAGAGAATATGGATTTATAGCACTAAACAAAGGGCCAAGTTAATTTGCTTCATTATGAACCTTGCATTTGTTACAAGGCAACATAGTATCCGAGTCATTTGAAAAACAATGTTAACCACAGGCAAATTAGATTACTGCAAATGTTTCTACAGAAATAAGTATCCCACTCGAGGCCATCGAACGTCACTTGAACGGAACGGCAAACAACATATGTATATGGATTATGTATAGTTACTCTTATCCTGGGGTTTATTTCTAAAAAGTTTGTAAAGTTGCGAATTTCTGGAAGTTAGTAACTGTGCGAAAATTAGTAACTTTTTCGCAAAGTAACTAAATAATGACGTCATGTGTGCATGCCAAATTAGTTTTTAAACAACTACTAATTTTCGAGAAATAGACCTCAGGGAATTAACATTCTAGCACATTCTTGGATAAATCTATAAATGATTGTTAATATCACGATCAAAAGCTTAAATCAGACATGATTAGATCACACGATGCATTATTCCTTGATCATGGCTCAATTGGCTTTTCTGCTGTTTTGAATAGACCTACCCTATCATTGGTATCAAAAAATGTTTCATCTGTTTATCAGGATTTGATACTTTTCTACGAATTCAAACAAGATTTACAGTGAGACGTGTACAAGGTTTTGTTGAAAATGGATAAAATGATTGATTCCTAAATGTTATTTACACAGAACTATGTGACTTGAATTGATTCTCGTTAAAACTATATCGATGTCAAAGCTATTAATCAAGTCGTGTTATTCTGCGGAAATCCGACACCTTAGACCTTTCATTCCCATTCTAAAAACATTTTCCAAATGAATAAGTAGATTCAGTTTCGGGATAACAGGGAACATTGGTAATCGTTTTTTCAATGGGATTTTGTTTGAGTTGAGCATGTTTCACTCAAACATATTCCTGTATTGATTGGCTGTAAATTGCAATGAGAACTGACTTTCCATCACCAATAACCGTATCGAAAACTAATGAACTAACTAAATGAATATCGGAAAAAAATAGAAAAATCAATGCTCAAATTTGATTATTTGATTATGATTTTAAGGATTTTTAAAGATAAAGGATTATCTCGGAAGATAGCTAAAAACAAGAAAGTTGTGATGAAAAAAGAATTCGCTAGTGAATTACGTTAATGTTAATTTAACAAATCTGTTTTCAATTTTGTATAATCAAAGAACAATAAACTGGGAAATGTGTTTTCATATTAAAATCTGTTAGATTCCATCTACCCCTACCTGTAGACCCGGATATGTGTATATCTAGAGTTAAAAGGTCCTATTTTCCAAAAGGTCACACCTGGTGACATGGTGAAAACACAGAAGGTGTAAACAACACCTTCCGCTTTATCTTACGTTTGAAATCCCCATCAACGACATTACATTATTATGCAATGCCATATCGAAAATCGCCATAGGTCTATATCTAATGGTTTTATCAAGAAACTAAGACATAAACTGTTAGTCAATCTATGTGATATCTCCTTGTCCCGTCGTTAACAAAATACTTTTCTTATTTTCAGGTGCCTAAATGGACCATATCTTATCCTAGCCTAGCAACCTGCTTCATCAATACGGTGCAAACAAAAATCGTATCTAATGGGGATGGTATCTGCGAATTCTAAAATGACCTCAGCGCCACAAATAAACGAGGACTCCTTGCATAAGGAGGGTAAATATTTTGATAATCACAACCAGAGTAAAGATAGTGGAATGTTAGGGGAGTCTATGAAAGCCCCGGTAGAAGGAGTTCCAAATATAAACCCGTCCTCGGGACATAAACATAAAAGGCGGAATAGAAGTTTGGGTAACGTGAATACAACGGGTGTAAACGGTGACAGAAGAGTGAGCGCCGATTGGACAGATAAAGGCGAGATAGCAATGAACAATTGCCCGAGTTTGTCCCCACATCATCATTCTCCATCGCCAAAATCGAATATATCTCAATCGACGCTTCAATCAAACCATACACCAACAGATGGTAATCTTAGGACGGTGCAAGTTAAAGGGTTAATCGATGATTTGGATCTAATATAGGATTATGAGTTGTTCGGTTTTCATCTATGTCTACTATCTGTTCATACCTTTGAAAAACCGCTCATGCATTGGAGAACTAGCTACTTTTGGAAGAAGCGGAAGTTAATCATTGTGTGAACATGGAGTAATGGCCTAGTCACATAGCCCGGCCGATGAGGTTACGATGAGCTAGCGATGCAATTTTCACCGAACTCGGCCGAACACCAGCCGGACACCGGCCGGACATCCGTGGCGTTTGTTGCTTAAAACAGCATCGGTGGTAGCTCGGTGAAATTTTAACTTCGGAGTTAAATTTCACCGGGCTCTCACCGAGCTCCCTCATCATGTCATCGCAGCCCCATCGTAACCACATCGGAAAACACGTCGGCCGGTGCACGGCCGAGTATCGACCGGTGTCCCGTGCATCTGAGACAACCAGAGGACGAGGTTTTTAACGGACAGCGGCCGAGCTCCGACCGAGCTCTGGCCGATGTGGGACAGAGCATCGGCCGGTCACTGTTCAAAGCCCGTTAACAACCCGGCCGGCGATCGCACGGTGTCCTGTTACCTGCTCGGGTACCGGCCGTATTCCTTCCGATGTCCGGCCGACCTCCGGCCGGTAGTTGCTGCCAAATCGGCAGAAAAAACTACCATTTTGAGACAGACTCCGTACGGTCACCGGCCGGTGTTCGGTCGGTCGCCTGAAGATGTCCGGACGGAGTCCGTTCACGTCACCGAGCTCTGCTTCCGATGAGGAGAGCTCGGTGGCACCAAAAAAATCCACCGAGCTCTACCGATGCCGGACATCGGCCGGGCTATGTGACTAGGCCATAAAATATACACCTATATTTTCAGTTTCTTCATTGACGAATTAACGCTCAATTTAGCTTAATTCAAGGCTTAGATGTAGTTACAATTGAATTGATTCCTCACTTCATCGGATGAATTTAACACGTTCACACACATATTTGTCAGCTCGATTACTGTGAATTCCCGTGGTAGAGACAGCAAAAAGGTTACCTGAGGTCAATGTCATTCCAAGGTCAAAGGTCAATATCTAGGTATTTGGCGTTTAAAGACGCCTGGTGACCCATGATAGGGTGACCTGAGGTCAAGGTCAACTCAAGGTCTAAGGTCAATATCTAAATATTTGGCGTTTTAAGGCACTTGAAGGATATTGTGACCCTTGATGAGTCACGATTGGGTGATCTTAAGTCAAAGTCAATGTTTGTAGTCCAAGGTCATCTTAAGGTCGAATGTGAATAACAGCTAGGTATTTGGTGTTTCAAGATCTTTGGACAAGTAAACCTCAATTTAAGTCAGTCAAGGTCAAACGATCCAATATACGGGTATTAAGCATTGTAAGGGGCTGTTGCAATGTTGGGCTGCTTTGACCCTTGGTGACCCATTCATACGGGTAGATTGCTAGTGGACTAACAAAAGTCATGGAGAAACGATTGACTTAAACGCTGCATATCATCATGTACTATGTTATGTTTGTCATCATGGGTACAGATACGAAATCCTTATTATCTAAGAAAAAACTCAAGTTTATCGAGTCCCAGCAAGTAGAGAATTCATTTTCGATAGCAAAAATATGTGTTCTTAAACAGACCTTTTTGAACATTTTGGTTAGCTCATTCATATAGCACGTTTTCACATATTGTGGATGCTATTTGAAAGCTAAGTGGCACATATTTAGGAATTCACCATATCGTGCCATACATATGAAAGGACCTGCCTAGCTAGCTTTCCGTTTGGTTAGTTTTGTTTTCACCAAATACTTAATCATTTCATTTCTCAGTATCATTTACACGCGTACAACCAGATATGACAAAATATATGTCTCCTTTTTGAGAGATTTAAATTACCAACTTTTCTGCTCAGGAACCGAGCTTCCTCCCACCACTTCTATGTCATTTATTTTCATTTAGCGTTCATCTCACAACGATCATGTAATCCTGGTCATATAAACAGATAGAGGATATGTGGAACAAACAGAATTGATTGAAAAGAATTCGAGAGTTAAATTATCTTGTAGGAGAATTCAAAACCCAGGATACAATTTATTTTTCTTCAACTTATTGTTAGTAATGCCTTGGTCACATTTGCTCCGACTTTCACTACGGCGCCCGGCCGATTGACTATTTTGTTCAGAAATGTATTCAATTTTGAACAAAATACTCAATCGGCCGGGCGCCGGCCGATGAATCGCAGCAAATGTGACTCAGGCATTAGTATTGTTCGACCCCGATTCATAATATATCATGCTTGGTCGTAGTTTTCACTGGTTCACCGGCTGGGAAACATGCGACTGGCAACTATTTTCAGATTTGAACAATCAAACAGTCGATACAATTACCCAAATGCGAGTAGGTAGTTACCAGTTTCACCACCAGGTGGCTGATTCGGGTCAATTAACATGGCAGGTATATAAGAAAGTTTCCTTAAACTTGAATATTATCAATTTAAGTGGCTCAATTTTCATATAACCCTTATGTGCCTGATACTTATACGAATGAAAATATGTCCAGTAAAGCAAAATATTATCTGTCCACTAAAAGAAAAGATATTTCATTTTTTGTGATTTTATAGCATGGGGTCTATTGGGAATCTCCCCGAGCTAGAAGTCACATTTTCAAAGAAAATTAATTTTTCAAAGTTGATAAACGGTTTTTAAAACCACATTTCTAGATGTAATTTTACATGTAGATTTCAAATATGATATTACTTTGACTGAATTTTGAATTTTTAATGACGTAAATCAAGATTATTTCTACTCGCATCTGGGTTATTGGTGCAATAATATTAATACATTTATTATTCAAATGAATAATTTAAATATAGCTCACAAATTGTGATGATTAATATTGTATGATGTCGACAGACTTGTATTATTTGATTTAAATTTATGTTAATTTATGTAAGTTAAATAATAAATATGGAAAACACGTCACGTACTCATGAAAAGTGTTTTGTTCAAGCTTATGTATTTTAAATGAGGAAAATCAGATATGGCAGGATCAAAACCAGAATCCTGTTTAGTTTCATTACTCAACTAACCCGTAAAGCATCTACAAAGAAGCAACCTAATTAACAAACGAAGAAATAGACAAAGCTCATAATAATCAGCGTTCCGAAAAAATTAAAGAAAACAAGAATGGGAAGGTTCCTGTTGTCATTAGTTGAAGGCTGCAAATTTTTTTGGCCATTTTACAGGGTGGTCAAAAAATGGAAACCCTGCATTTTCCTTATATCTTTGTCACATTGAAATATTACTCCCTGATATTTCACACATTTGTACAACATTCCATTTCCTACCACCCTACCATATTTCATAACCATCAGACTGATAGTCACAATTTTACAGCACTCTGAATAACATGCTTCAGATTTGGCCATCATCGCGCTGTAGGCAAAACAGCACAGTTGTCAATGACCCGAATGCATTCCTCAGCAGGTATGGCCTGAATGAAACGAATGATCTCACTTTCTAGGTTTGCAATTGTCCTGAGGTCATTCTCATATACTCTATCTCTGCCATATCCCCACAGGTAGGGACATTTTTGACGATGAATACAGGTTTCCCATCAACGCAATAGTGGCCACTGGGCATGTATTTTAAGTACTGACTCTGATGGTCATAAAATAAAGTAGGCTGGTAGGAAATTGAATGATGTACAAAATTGTAAAATATCAGGGAGTTATTTATTAAAATTACAGAGATATGAGGAAAATGTTATTAGGGTTTCCATTTTTTTGACCACCCTGTATATGTCCAAGCTTTTTGTGCAGTAAAAAGTGAAAACGATTCATTGTTTTGCCTATTACTCGCTCATTCCAGCCCAAAACCATTATTCATATTTTGTAAACGTACATGCACAACTTGTTGTTTTCACCATACACGAATAAATATGTTCTCCCCTCAACTTTAACATCCACGTCATGTTGCATAACTTTTTGGTCTGTATGATATCTGAATTGTTCTTGAACACATTAAAGCTAGGCTTCATGGAGCAATTTTACAAGAAGTTGCAAATGACTAGCTCAACTTTGTGCAATTTAATGCCCAAAATATCATACTCTTGAAATCAAGGGGAGAACATATTTATTTGACACTCTGTAGAAGATTCCGAGCATGACTCAAGGAGTGGCTTTATCGTATAACATTGATTTTGTATTATTGTGTCATCCTGGTATTTTTCATACGATAGACACTGGCGTTGTATTTCGAGGTTGGAATACCCCGTCTTGTATAATTGTATGTACATTTTTTATATTGCATACAATACAAAAGTGTAAAGTACAGTATGATGATTACATCTGTTTGGTGACCCTACAAGCCTGTATCATCCCGTATCGTGAAAAATAATGCAATGATTATTTAAAGGCGCACTTTGGCAATTTTCAACATTTTTTGGCAAAATAAAGACTTCCATTTAAATTTTATAGTATGTCCAATGTGTTGATAAGAACCTTATCTTTCATTTGACACCAACAACAGCTCAATGGACCACATCAAAGCTTACAATAAATTATCTGCCAAGCTTTATACATCAAGTTTTTATCAATGTCATTGAAAGATTACATCTTTCAATATGCAAGGACTCGGTTATATAAGATGAAACACACCTTTTATTCAAATGTAAACAATTGGAGTATATCAGAAAATCCGATATTGAAAAACTTGAAAACCTTTGTTGTAATTTTAAAAACATAAATGACCACCAAAAGACAATTTTTCTATTGACGAGTGAGGGGATCATATTAGAAGAATCTGCTAACATGATAAATTATCTAATGATTGGTAGAGACAGGATTCTTATATCAAAGTAACATTTTATATGTCATTTGAAGAATGAAATCCTATTTTCTTTACTTTATTGCTGTATTTACTGTTATTGAAAATTGTATATCGGATGTATGTACGTTTGGCCCTAAAAGGGCATCAGTACTATTAAAATCCTATTATATATATGAATGGTATATTAAAACACTTCAGGGCTATATAAAACATACTTTTGACCATTGTTTACTCGGTTATAGATATAGATAACCACGAAAATCAAGGGGTCCCTGTGTGCTTTATCAATGCTCTTACAAGGCCTTTTATATGAAACTCGTACAGTTTCGAGCAAACTAACTATCCTGTCTCATGTTAAAGTTTGAGCTTCCAACTCCTCTTATTATAAAATTGAGAGCCAACGGTAAGAACCTTTTTGATCGGCCCTTGTATATATCTGCCTTTGGCTTTGGTTAATGATTCAAGATGAGTACTGAGTTACAAAGAAGAGAAACAAATCCTAATCGTTAAAAGGAAAAATCTTCATACATGGCAATGTATTCAAATACCAATTCAAAAGCAAGTATTTGTTGCTGGAAAATATTTATTTGTGATGTAATATCATTCTTTTTAAAGGTGCAATATCAGTAAGTGAAAATTCACATGCATAAGTATATTAATTAATTATAACAGGTTATCGCAATGCATATATGTGATTAATCATAAAATACACGTTTTAAGATGTTAATATACAATACGTAGATGTAAAATAAAACATTGTTGATTAGGATTTTGTTGACACACGGGATGACGATAAAATGAATAAATGCCATATTTAAGAAGGACTCAAAATACACGATGTTGAAGAATAACATGTTCCTAGTGCTTTTTATCCTTCGCTACTTCTACCTCCGTTAGTATTCACAGTGGTGATCACTTGGTTACAACAATCCGAATCATTTCATTCTTGATCAGCGCCACGTAGTGTCACACTTTACGAGTGATCTGATCGATAATTTCAATTTATTTATTTCCATTTGTAATTGCTTCTTAAGTCTAATTGATTGTTTAATTTGGGCATATATAAAAGTAATTCACTGAAGCATAATTCCGGTGCGATGATAGAAGTATATGCTGGATATGGTCTGGTTTCCACCTATTTAATGACCTAAAATGTACAGTAAATATACTCTGTCATAGATTCCTTAAATGTATGGGGTTCAATGGCTGATATAAATTGCGAGCTTTTTGCCTTGACAAATCAAATATCTGTTTTGCGGTGCTTCATATAATTACTTGTCACCCCAAACTCTTGTGGTCGAACCTGATCATTTTTTAAAAGGCAAACCCCGCTAAACAGAAAATTAATGGTTCCTTCAACTGATTGTTATATTGTAATTCAGAATAAATATAATATTTGTTTGCTTATAATACAGAATAAAGTCAATGCAAGGACAACATGACATAACCATGGGGATAGTTATTTCTAATGACCATAATTTCCGAGACCAGCAGTTCATGTAAGAATGTTTATCCTTATGCTGTATTGTACACTGATCGTTTCACATGGGTCGACTTCTCCTGGAAAGTAAAAACAAAAAGAAATAGAATTTATATTATATACATACACACCTACATAGTTTACTTTCCCACATAGACATTGGTCGGTTAGCTTGAAGTTCAATAGTTGTAGTTCGTGCTAAAAGTTCAGGTTTACTCCTCAAAAGTGTTACACTCCCCTCCAAAAGTTTGGCAACCCTAGCTCCCTCATTGAACTATGTGTTAAAGCCTCTTTATGTTTAATTTTTTATTTGCATAACCTGTGGAGAAAAAACTTATAATATTAATGGGAATGTATCTTGACTTCATTTACAATGCTTCCAAAATTTTCCATTTTTTCAATTAGGTCGGAAATCGATGATAAATCTGATGAATTTTTGAAAATAGACATTCCCATGTAAACCAATGTGAAATGGTAGATCAGATTTGCCGCAAGTCAAACGACAGAATATTCATCCATCAACGTTCTTGCAAAAAATACAAGTTAGGTAGTCAATTAAACTTGCTAACTTTATCTAATAAAAATTGATACGTTTCTTCAGGTTTAAAAAGTTTTAGGTCTTCAAAGTCAAAATCATTTAAAGAAAACTCGTCCCATTGAAATAACACAGCAGAATACAACACAATGATTTTCAAAAATGACTTTGAACCTCTGTAACTTTAGTATTCATAAAGTAAAATGAACACCTAGGGTACAAAAAGGTTAAACAATTATACAAAAATATTTTTGGTGAATCTTTTACTGGATAGATATCCTGAAATTAGATTTGCTTCGAACCCACCATTCCCATTGATATACATGGGAATGACGATTTTCAAAAATTCATCAAATTTATCATCAATTTCCGTAATTTAGGAAAAATTGGGAAAATTTGGAGGCATTGGAAATGAAGTCAAGTTACATTTTCATCAATATCATAAGTATTTTCTTCACAGGTTATGTAAATAAAAATTCAAACATAAAGAGGCCCTAACACGTAGTTCAATGAGGAAATGAGGGTTGCCAAACTTATGGAGGGGAGTATATATTTTAATAGGAACTTAATTGGTTGTATAATAAAATTATAAAATGGTGGCCAAATATTCAATCACGTTGCGATTTGTTAAGACATTGAAACTTTAAGTTTTGACCCACACTCTGTACTGTAATAAATTGTATTTCAAATTATGTTAACATCTGAGCATATCATGTTGAGGTTAACATGTGTTTTCGGTTTTTGTATTTTGAAAAGGATTGTGATTGCTCTTAAAATTGCTCACTTCTATACTTGGATTTTGCAGGTATGTAGTCACGCTGGACCCTTGTCCCCAAGTCTGCTGATAGGGCAATTCGAAGTCGTCTGATTTGCCAAGAGGCTTGTAGCCACGTGCCCATACCTAAAGGAAAATGGCTATTGCATAATTTGGTGAAATGGTGGTATACAGTGGATGACTTCGGATTGATTTTTTCGTCTATCAGGTCTCAACTTGCTCTGACTCCAAAATTCTGGAGAAAAATTAACGTTGATCAAAATGAGAAATATTGACATAAAAGCCACAAAAATTGGTGAGAGAAATAAAGTTATTGTTGAAAGAAGATTTTAATAAAATGATGGGGGCGATTCTGGTAATTTTTGTTTGGAGCGAGGGAAGAAACGGATGACAACTGCGTTTCAGTTTTTGACTTTGTTATTGCAGCAATAACACTCTCTCTCTTATCTGTTCCGATCATTACAGCTTGAACACACCCTTCACAAGCTATTAAACATATTTGGAAATGTTGCGCCATTTTGATATCTCAGCTCTACCAGCGAGCAAAATATGTTTCTAGATACCAACATACCTTGACTTTGCTATTTCCTTTGACCTTTGCTCCATTTGGAAATGTAAAATCAACTTTGTCGCCAGTATCCTCAAGCAAACGCTTTATTTTCCAACCAGTTAAGTCTTCGTCCTTAAATCAGATGAAAACAAACAGATTTCTGATTTTTGTTTTCAATAATGTAGCAAGATCAAATCTATTACAGATTCGTGTGTGTTTTCCAAGTATTGTGGTAGTAATAAGACGTATTGTTACAATATAATAAATATGAATAAATAAATATTAAATCACATATTGGTTATACTATTCGCCGACCTTTGATACATGCGATAAAACACATTTGCTCCCACTCTCTCCCGAAGGGGAAACCACGTTACCTTGCTCTGTGTATTTTCTAACACGATATAGGTGGCATCTTCGGAACAATCGCAGATTCCGACGGGACCCTTGGCTTCCTTCTGGTATTTGATTTTAGCCTGCATCTCTCCTGTGATAACGCGATGCGTTGTGATGTCTACAAATGATCAAATTCCTTCTTGAACTCATAAACATGTACTTGTACAGTTGTCGTGTGAAAATAAACAATGAAACACCTTTGACTAGTCTATCATTGTTTTGAGAGTTCCGACAAAAATATTTTTTTATCAAACATTTACTTTTATTTCACCATGGGCTTTCAATTGAATGCCCATGATTTCACAAAATATATTTCAAAATAATAAATATATTTCAAAAATCATTTATTTCTCAAAGTTGTTCAAACATTCATAAAAATTGAACCTTAATATATTCTTGAGCTATAAAAACTAGTATATTTAGAAAAAATCATACAACAACCTACCAGTTTTCTCTTGGGTTTCCTGCTTCATGCTGTACTGCCGAAGTAATGCCTCGATTGCCTGCTTTAAACCAACTCTACAGAGAAAAATGTATCAATTAGATTTACTCATGAGTTTTAGATCAATTTAAAGATGGTAACAGTGCTTTTAAATTGTAGTGTATTGTATTGTCTTTTATAAGAGAGATTAAAGAAAGATGTACAGGGTGAGCCAAAACGGTGGCCCAAACAAATCTTAATAACTCGGTCATTCCATCCAGTATGGGGTTTAAGTCAAATTTTGCACAATTGAGCCATGTTCAATCTTCTTTCATTCAAGTTGTAAACTCAAGTTTTATTAGTCTTTGTCCAATGGTCACGATTTTTTGGCCATTTTACAAAACATGTCCAATGGTCATGGTTTTATGGCCATTTTACAAAACATGTCCAATGGTCACGATTTTATGGCCATTTTACAAATTATGTCCAATGGTCATGGTTTTATGGCCATTTTACAAAACATGTCCAATGGTCACGATTTTATGGCCATTTTACAAAACATGTCCAATGGTCACGATTTTATGGCCATTTTACAAAACATGTCCAATGGTTACGATTTAATGGCCATTTTACAAAACATGTCCAATGGTCACGATTTTATGGCCATTTTACAAAACATGTCCAATGGTTACGATTTTATGGCCATTTTACAAAGCATGTCCAATGGTCACGATTTTATGGCCATTTTACAAAACATGCCCCAAATGACAAAGCATACACAATATGCCCATCTTCTCCTCTTGTCAATTATATTACAAAAAATTAGTTACACATACTGTACTGTGATGGTGGTATTCTATCCATATCTAAGCACAGGTGGAAAAGGGAAAGGACCAAAAGTTGTAATGGAACTTAGCAAGAAAAAGCAAACTCTAAGTGCATACCAGTCAAGAAAAACAAACCCCATTTATCCCAAAACCATGATCTAACATGAAAAGAAACAATGTCTAATACCCCCTTTCCCCCACCATTCAAGAACCGATATCACAATCCAAGACCAGAACACCAAGGGACATTTCATTCATACTGAAGTCATTACAATACATGTTGAGAAAATTAGAAATTGATAGCCAATATTCATAACATCAAAAATAGTTGTAGATACAAGTACTCATACAAGATAGAGCATTTAGTCTCAAATGATGTGGGATAGATATGATCCAGTCTCCAAGTCCATAGGCGTTTCAAAGGGTCAACATCCATTCACAAAAGCCGTCGCCATAATCCATAAACACAATAATGTCATTTGGAGATGAAGAAAGGGAGTTTATGTGCTCCCTATTTTGTTTTATAAAAGATCATGGTTCAAATAGGACATTTTCAAAAGGTATGGTAAAAGCATTTATGACGACGCATACGCACCACATCAAGATGTCGTTCTCTAGTTGGATCTAACGATTGAGATTCAATCAGACCTAAATTTGCAAATGAAACAAAGCCCTATATGACTTAATTATATGGAATGCGTTGGGACTTCATGGGACTTTAGCTAACTTAAATAGCTACTTACGAGTCATGCGCCCCCTCCAGCAGCTTTCTATACGCCGCAATTTCAACCCTCATTGAGAGATTGACATCCTTGGTCTCGTCAAACTTCACCTTCATTGCTCTGATCTCCTCTCTTAATCGCGCTATCTCCTGGTTTGGTTGATCCTTTTGTGATTCTGTCTCAATAACGCGTCGTTTGTACTGATTGACGTCATTTTCTAACTGGTTGCTCTTAAATAAACAAATATTAGGATCATTGTACAGAAAATTATCGAAATAAATTAATATTGGATGGAGGGGGATTGGATGGAGGGGGATTGGATGGAGGGGGGGGATAACGTGTATATAAGACATGATAAGACATACTATTTGAATTTATTCTTATGACTCCAAATCCCATTTTTCATTCTCCAGAGATATAATATCCAGTTTCTTACTGGGGTGCTGAATTTGTTCCATCGTAGACATATAAATCCCCCTCCATCCAATATTAATTTATTTCGATTATTTTTTGTATAACGCATGGAAACTAACTTTAAAAAGTGAGCAATGTCATTAGTATTGTGATAATAACGTCCCTTATACCTAGTATTTATTACAGGTCGTGTAGACCATTGTTGCCCGATTTATAGCAAAAATTCTTTGCTATAAAGCCTTTTTAATAGATATCTTAGAAGGGTATCAGTTCAAAAAAATACTAGATGACCTAATATATTTTGCCATGCACTGCGCCTATTCCTTTGGCAATTCAGTTGTAAATTTTCTCTTAAAAAAATAAATTTTCCTTTGTTGAGTTTTCTTGCAGAAATCGCCTAATCCCCCCTCCCTCCATCCATTTTGTGCGATCAACGGGCGTGACCCTGTATGATGTCTTGAATTCAAGTAACTCTTGCGTAAGTTGTATTACATGGTTCTACCTTGAACTGGCCTTACCTTTAAACCATATGCTGCCTTGGTGACTTCAAGCTGTTCATCGTAGGAATCCTGAATCTTCTTGAGGCCTTGTTCCATCTTCTTGGTCCATATATCCTCTTCCTTTTGGCGGTCCCTTGATAGAATATCGTCCAAGTCGTTGAGTCGCTGAAAATAAAGTCCAATGCACGTGTTAACCGGGAATCATAACGCAAAGAATTTTTTCTTCCAATACTAACCACAAGAATAAAGTAAATAAATAAATCATTTAGTTCTCAATCAAATAAGTTTGAAACTATATCTTATACTACTACATACTACAGTTTCTCATTTCAGTAAGAATACTGTGTATGGGGAATTCCGGTGGTGGCACTATGGGCCGCGACATGTACATATTTAGCTTCAAGTGAAAGCACATCACGTTTGTACGTTCAAAAATAAAACTTCATTTCATTTTATTGTGTCTGGAGTAGCTATAAAGACGTTTGTTTTTGTTGATTTAAAGACAAATTAGCACAACTGAGAACACATCGACCATTAACAATCAACAGGTTATAAAACATTTTCAGATTAAAGTACGACTATATTCTTTACCCAAATACACAAAGTGGAGCAAAAAACGTCCGTATTTATATTTGATGATAACTTTCTAAAAAAGGTATGCATTCAAAAATCGTATGCACTTCAATTTCAAAATGGCCACCATTTTTTGCAGAAAATCATAATCTTTGATGATCAAATACCGGTAGACTGCTTTGATTCAAATTTTATACACTGATGCCTAGAGATAAAGGAACTCTCCTCAAGATGGCAGCTGAAATAGCCACCATTTTCAAAAAAACATGATCTTCAAAAACTCAAATTCGAGTGGACAGATTTGGCCGACTGAGGGATATATGGATTACGAAGATACTTGGAATATCGTGTTTAAGTCATTTATCAAAATTAGAATATTGATCGAGTGGCTCAAATATTAGATGCTCACTCAAATCACTGTAAAACTGCATTATCATATAACTAATAAATCAGATGTATAAGTTATTTGTTCAGACAATTGTACAATGATTATCTATTGTTTGTTCACATTCTTCATTAGGATTACAAAAACATACTTAAACCATTTTAAAAATGAAATGAATGCAAAAATTATGCACATATAAAGGTGTTTTTGGCACACCCTGTATGTGTAAACATTTCTGCCTTCAAGAATAAATTAAAATTACTTGGTCGTACCAGTTTTGTTTTTATGTTAATTGCAAATGTCAATTCAAGTGGAAATTAAATCAAACGACATATGCATAAGGACACTTTAGCATATTTAGCATTTTAACACATTTTTATCATATATCTAGCACTTTAGGATAATTTAGCATGTACTCGCGCTCGATCTATTTTGTCCGACGCTGTATATACTGATTTTTTTCAATCCCATTCATACGGCAAAAGTGTAGATTTGTGTCAACTCCCTGATCCAGATGCCTTATCACTCAACTCCCGATCACCTTTTCACTTTGTTGCAAAAACACACAAAGTAGGGTTAAATAGTCTAGTTAACTTAACCGAGGGGTTGCCTGAAATTAAAACAATTTGGAGGTCGTGCATCATACTGCAATATAACTTACTTGTCCGTGAAGATGTTTGAAATACTCGAACTCTTCCTCAACTGTGTGGCGTTTATTCTCTGACTTAACCAGGTTGAGGTTCTCTCTGTTGAGGGTCTGAAAATGTGCATTGAAATATAAATAAATATGCAACGAAATATATTTTTTCTAGGTAAGTTAAAACGTTGCGTATATTTGATATAACTTTCCTTAGGAGAATGGTGAGTGGAATTGAATTTCAGGATTTTATCCAATGATAAAAACGCCATAAATATACAGAGAGTGACATATCACATGGCACACTTTAGACTTTTGGAATTCAAACTTTGGAACTCCTTCCATTAAATCTAAGATTCAAGTTTTCAATGTCTATTTGAAGTACATGTCCGGGCAATTGAAACATTTGTTTTCTGAAAGGTTTCAATATTAGGAAAGTATGAGCGCTTTAGACGTTTAACTAAATTTGAAAAGTCTTACATCTCCCCTTTGTTTCAGCTCGTCGCGGAGACGTTTTATTTCAGCCTTGTCTTTCTTGCTCTCAGCATCTTTCGTATTCGCTTTCCTGCGGAGAAGATTGTTCTCGGCCTCAAAGTCGCTTACAACCTGCATCTGCCGATCAATGGCTTGTTTTGAGTTTTGGTAAGCAGTCTCCAATTTGCCATTCCTATGATGTCAATTGAAATATTTATTTTGTTTAATTTTATGAATATATACGTTATGGCAAAACGTTTTTTTTTATTTAAGCAGACTTACTAGAATACTATTTCTGGCATTAAGTTTTTTTTCCTATCATTTGTACCCGACAACTTGATATAAAAAATGTTAAATTCAGTCCACCAAAACGGGGTGACATATTGTAATGGTCTCCGTTTTTTGACAGCAGCTGTCGATCAGCGGTTGGCGTCTGTAACAAATTCTTAAAACTTCCAATAACCTAAAAAATTTTGTTTAGACTGACTTCAGATTTTTTCAAAATCATCTACAAGTTTTCAGAAGTTCAAATCTGACTTTTGAGATTCGACCTTCAGTGATTTTCTCAACTTTTTCAACTTGCTTCAAATTGACCATTTTTTCAAAATTATCTAGAAGTTCTCATAAGTTCAGATCTGACCATAGATTTGACCTTCAGTGACATTCCCATGGTCCAAAAAATATGTGACCTTCAATGACCTTATCAAGGTCAAAATGGTATTTTTCACCTTGCTTCAAATTGACCAATTCTTTCAAAATCATCTACATGTTCTCAGAAGTTCAAATCTGACTTAAGAATGAACTCATATAATATTATGAGCAAGTAGCAACATGCCTTGTTCAAATAAGGTGAAACTACATGTATGTCATAATTCATAAGTCATATAATGAAAACTTACTCTTCTTGAAGTTTATCGTTTCGTTCCTCAAGACTCCTTATTGCTATCTTCAAACTTCCATTTTCATTGTTGACGTCGTCGTGGAGTTTCCGAGCCTGTTTGAGTTCTGCCTCGATTTTCTGAATTACCGCATTCGTGCTCCAATCTTCCTTAAACTGCTTTAGGTCGATATCAATCCGATCACTCAGAATTTTATTCTTAGCTTCCAGGAAAGCTATTTTATCAATAAAGCTCGCAAGTCGCGAGTTCAACTCTTGCATTTCCTTCTTCTCATGGTTTCTCGTGGTTTTAACCTCATCGATGTTAATTTCAACGTAGTTAAGACCGACGTCCTTTGAAGTCTCGTCTTCGAAGTTAAGGTGCTCGAGGGATCCCACGGATCTTGACCGGGCGCGGTTTATTACAATCTTCCGGGGAGACATCGACGGGACGTAGGAGCTGTATCCCAGGTCATCATCCGTCACCGTTGTTTGAGATGAGTTTAAGAAAGATCTGTTCAATTTTGAAGGACTATGCGATTGCCTCGTAGTCGTTTCAGTTACAGTTTTCTCGGATGTAACTGTTTGCCCTGTTGATGAATATTTTATTGGGGACGACATTTTTCCCATCTAGGTTATCGCTCTTCCTCAAACCAACTGAGCAAGACACAAACACCACATCATTATATATTAGTTTGCAAGGCCAGTGGGGCTTCAAGACACGACTGCATTGATTGGTTGAGCTTTGTCACGTGACATTAATTTTCATGACGTCCAATGTCACGTATTATCAATCAATAGTAGTAGAAAAGGTATTGAAATAGAGTTTATGGTCATCACATAAATTATAATAAATGGGAAATCGAAGTTTGCCTAATATTGAATTCAAGGTGTGTCGCATTGAGTAGCAAATATAACAATAAACAATTTATTTTACAGCACTTAACGTCAATAAAAAAACAGGTCAATGGTCGTTTTGAATCTGGAGAGTTGAATGTTCTTAAAAAGGCGGTCTCTTTAATTTGGGATATAACAATCGGCTTCTCTTGTAAGGTGCCGCTATTAAAATCCGTATAATTATGTTGAATTTGAAAATTATTGATTAGATCGAGGATTCAGGGATGTGCGACATGTCGGATAATGACGGATCAAAAATGTTCTAAGACCACGGGGGATAAGCAAAACGAGGGCGAAGCCACGGACTGCGACTCGCGTAATTCAAAACGAGGTTACAACGCATTATAGCTGAACAATGGCAGTAAGTCCAAACTTAATTTGGAAGGCATGTTAGGATTTGGGGTAGATTATTGGTTTGGATATTCTACAGAATAGCTAGTATGTTCCAGTCGGTGATCAACATATTCATACTCCATCTGCAATGGCATTCTTGGTGCTCGGCTGTCCAATAGTTTAGCATGAACACAAATGAATTCGAAATCTGCCACAAAAAATGTAGTTTTGTCAATATTTGTCCCTAATATACCGATTTAAACAAAGGAATCAGAAATGACATCGAATTAATATAATTATTCATGTTCTGTTGTTACAATTACATCTTCGTGTGATATTAGGTAAGCGGAAAACATACAATTACATAGAAAATTGGAATTTATAATAGTCGCAGTCCATACATCTGCCCAACGCAGTCCGCGACTCAGTGTTGCTTTATATCTGAAGCTGAACGCAATCACAGCCAAAGGTAGATAGCACAATGTGAGTACAGGTGTGGCCAAAATGGAGCAACTTTGGACAAAATTGAATATAAAGGGCTATTTTAATAGACCTACATCGTGTCTCAATTCATTCTGCAAATATATACAAGCTGTCAAATACAGCTGAAATCATGAATTTATGGTAGCTAGCAATATTGATGGACTGTTGGAAAGATCATCCAAAATTACATTAACTCACCAACTCTCCAATTATTTGATATTTTCCTGATATCTTAAATACTAGTTAATGTACCCTTCCCCAACAGCTTTTATTGCATCATCAAAAAGTTAATTGTTTCGCATTTCTACTTCTTATAAAAAGTCTCACCACTATCCAATTATCTATATATATTTAACCCTATCCACAAATTGGTTTGTAATAAACATATTACGTTGTCATCTTGCGCTCGACTGTTCTGCCAAATACGCTATTGAATTGCCATATTTCTAGGTCTTAAACGATACAATATAGCAATTTGGGACATTGATTCAGGTAATAGATATATGTTAATCAACGTAACTTTGAATGATAATCTGGATACTGACTTTTCTTTTCCTGAAACAATAATAGCGTAGGAATATAGTTTACACTATCTTATTTATTTCGTGTTCGCGGCTGGACTGCGTTACTTAGAATATCAATGGAGGCTGTGTTGCGTTGTTGAAATAGCTTTGTTTACTGGACTGCGTCCACTATGAATGCGCAGTTTGAATCTAATTTTCTCCTCATGAACACATTCTATTATCAAATCATTTTCACGAATTATACTCGGAGCCTCAACTAACCTTTAGATATCAGAAACGTGTTAAAACTCCTTTCAAATGTATAGTAAATTAAATAATATGCACATATTTTACAGGTAAAATCAGAACTTTGCTACTGTTTTAGCCGCTTGATCTGGACAACTGCTTATTTTCTTATCTACAGACCAACAGTAGATACAGAGTAATATTTTGGTCACCGATTAGACACTACGATAGCATTTAAAATACCTGGATTTCTCTTTTTTGTCGGAAGAAGCAGAAGTCACTGCAGGATGTCCCTCCATTTTGGCGCTGGGCTGCGGTGTAAAGTTACGCGAGTCGCAGTCCGTGGCTTCGCCCTCGTTTTGCTTATCCCCCGTGAAGACGTAAAAGTGTTCCCTTAAGCTATATATTGTCTTAGATTCGCAATAGGAATGATCTAAAACGTTTATAGATTTTTTCGAAATTTTCTTGAATTTCTACATCAATAAAAATTATAACCCATCTTCTGGGGGAATAAAGCTTATCTTTACTGTTATATCACTTTGTGTTCTCCTCACCGATGTATTATATTCCAGACTAACGTAAGTTTGAGTTCAGGTGACCTGGTATTTATTGGTGATGACTATGTAACTCAGTCAGACATTTGGACGTAAATTGACGCGAAAATATGAACGTAAAGTTAGGCAAAACATCATTAAAATACGAAAGTTAACCACATATTATTCACTAAATTATGGCAGTATCTTGTTTTTAGCGCAGAATTAGCTCCCAGAATCATCCCACTCTTAAAATCATTTATGTAAAAAGTAATAACTGTTCAACTAAATTCAGCATTGAATTGCTGTATGTGCCCTTGTATTGTTGGAAAATGCAGTACAGATGAGACACGGCCTTAATTCACTGTTGAAAACCATGAAAATACAGTACAGATAAAGAATAACCTCCCATCCTTTAATTGTTATTGGTGGGAGTCTGATTGGTACTCTGCTGTACAATAGTGTTCTGTTCCAATTTTATAAATGGGCGCCACAAACTTTGTTTGGCTTCTTATGCCATTTAAGAAATCCTCGTGTTTTTCGCATACAAATAAAGTAATCATTTTTAATATAGTTATGTTGTATTAGTTATGTCTCGATTATTTCTTTTTTAAATGTTGTAATGTAGATATTTATGATGAGTTGTACAGGACAGAAGAGTTAACTTTCTCGTAGATGATTATTTCAATTCAATAGTTTTTTGCTGTTATGATTTCTGTTGGTTTCATTAGCAGTCTATCAACGGACGTAGACGTTGCCATGTGGAAAGTCAACACCTTTAACATATCTTGTTTCTTGGCCTTGCCCACATGGATCCCACGTACAGGTAGGATTGCATCCGACAGAGTTGGCATCAAACTGAAGGTAATCAGTGCCATCAATTTGCAGGTCTGGGCCACACCATTCATGCCAGTGCACCTCTGTAGGCGTGACATCTTTACACTCTGGGAAGTCAGTTGAAATAACCTTGATCACTTTACACCTGATTGGACCATCCTTATCTTCTTCCATAATACTTCCCCCAGCCTGACTGCAGGATATCCAATTGATGATATTTGATTTTACCATGCATTCATTGTCTCCCATAAGCTTCCAATAATTAAAGCCTAGGGCTCCTAGCTGTTCTTCTGAGTCTGGTGGACTTGTTGATACAGGGACCTTAACAGTAGCATTAGTGCTGGACCCCATGAATCTTTTCAAATCCTAGTTAGGCCTTAGAGTTACATCATTTTGACATGGGCTTTCAATTGTGCTGTTGATGTACATTTTTTGAGATACCCTGTATTCTCATTTCAAAGGGCAAGGTAGTGAAATATTGGTAAAAGGCCTCGATTGAGGTAGGAAATATATGCATAGCCTGCAACGTTAATTTTTGACTTTTGAAATAAAACATAGGCGCGGCTATTCAACCGTCCGAGACAATTAGTTTTGGAATTATATTTATTTCGTATTGTGCGCTTTGTAGTTTCTGCAACCTATAAGCTATTGTAACATATGTACAACCCTGTTAAATTGCACTTTGTTTTATTTTAATAAATTACTTCTTCTAATCCTCTAATCAGTAGAAAAGTGTATTGCTTTAGTCGCTCAGAATTTTGTTAACGAAATATTAATATAAACAGCAAGTTCTTTCAACCAGTAACATAAAAGATGAAGATCTTGTCATTCAAAAACAAGGAAGTTGTTTTACAACGGCAATGGAATGTCCGAGAACACGCGCTTCTTTTGTCATTCGATTGAACCAAATATTGACATTGCAACTTTATTTCAACCAATGCCGAAGAAAAAAATATGGCCATCTGAGACTAATGTCATATTTGAAGAAAATCACAAATAAACAAGTCATTTTCTTAAGAACACGACTACACCCTTAGCCATAGCCTTGCCCAAGTCGGTCTCTTTTACTTATCTTGATTTCTATTATGACCGCCTTGTACCAAAGAGAAAGCCATGTGCTTTACCGACAGTTTGTTGATGTCGGTAAAATTTGACCAATCAACGACGGCCCTGTAGCGTTAGCTCATTATTATGCACGGTCAAAAACAAGTACACCTTTCACCGGGACTTTTCACGAACAAATCTTGCACGAATCTAAGCACGAATTCATCATGAAAATACAAATATTTTATCAGATAAATATCAATGAGAGTTTAGTGGATGCCGGGGCATCGATCGGATAACCAAAGGTGAGAAGATTTCAACAATAAACGTTGAAACGATCGCTGAACATGTAGGCTGAGATTCAATCACCGATCGACGACAACATGACATTGGACTAGGTCTTCGTGCATTTTCATCGCGAAATCAGTTCTAAATCAACATTGAATCGCATGATTTAATTTATATTAATGACTCTTACCTTCCAATGTACATTTAATAACATAATATATTGTAACGTATAACGAAACACTCGATCAGATCATGGAATTTCAAGTCGTAGATGGGAAGTTTGTTTTGTTTATGCAGCTCAACCTGATAACGTTTTGATTGGTCATTCAGCCTGAAGTCACACGTCGTGTCCACGCGTTATCTGTCAATCAATAAGGTTTCGCGATACCCCTGATAGCGTAGGTATTATGGAAATCTCGAAACCGTTGAATATTTCAGTATAATAACAGCGGAGATGTATTGGATTGTACAAGGCGGTAATAATTAAGTAAAAAAAATACCGACTTGGGCAAGGCTACCTTAGCCATATAAACGTCCTATTGCTAAAGCTAAATGTTAATTACTTATTCGATCATATTTTGAGAGGAAATACATGAGTCTTGTTCGAAATGGATACATATCGAGGAAGGTATAAACGTTTCAATTCAATATTTAATTACGTTTTATAGGTAAATAAAGATAATCCATGTTGAAATAATTGAATATCTATAATTTCATCTTGGGCAGAGTGGTTACTAATATACATTTATTTGTTTCTAAGGTTTAGCGACAACAACAACGGTACGCTATAATGTATGGTTGGATTATTTGGTGCTGCTTGCCAATGTCACCCCGGAATAACCTGACAACGGTAAAGTCAGATACCGTTGTCACAAATGACGGACATGACCGTCGCTTCAATTAGATTTTCATGAAATGTATGTTTAATAGAGCACCTAGACTAAATTCCTTTGGAATAACAATCAATCAAAGTGTCTTAATACTCATTGTACAGTTAATTATGTTCTACCATCGAAATAAAGTTTAATCTAACCGATCAAAATGTGATACGGGACAACGGACACTGTAATTACCATATGCCGTTGTCCAAATTACTCAAATTCAGTTTCCGTTGTCATTGACAATATCGAAGACGCTATATTGTGGCGATTCACGACCCAATTTGATCGAAAATTGGATTTCATATGATACATTATCACAAGAGCTTAATACATGCACAGAATTAGCGAGGATAAATCCCATGAAATGAGGACCAAGTGATTAAACAGTTGAAGCGACGGTTATGTCCACCATTTGTGACAACGGTATCTGACGTTACCGTTGTCAGGCTATTCCGGTGTGAATGTGAAGGAGATCACGGTTTTAATGCGAGTGGCAGGTTTACGTGGTGGAGCGCCAATAGCGAACGCCCGTGTGTACATGTTTGCTAAAATTCGACTTTGATATTTTCGTTGTATTGTATCCTAATCGAAGTGGCTAGAATAGAGGAGTTTCTAGATAGCTTTGAAATCTCGCTAATTCTCGTTTTTACATGAGATTTTAAGAGATTTGCACTTTTTTCCTCTAATGAATTACTTTTCTTTATTTTTGATAGCATATTTGGATTCAGTGACAAATTTTCTCTAATTATAGCTTTGATTTAAACAGTTATGTCATTTAAATCACTTTCCATGACATTTAAAAAAAAACTTGGGCCAAATCTCCATTGGTGCAATGCTGAAATTCATTAAAACCTTGGTTTATTCGTATGACAACCAATATTTTCATGGTTAATCACAATATGTACATGGACATGGTCATCCAATAGTATGCCATTCAAATTTCAAACAGATTCAACCAACACTCTTTAATAAATCATGAAATTAAGTGACTGTTGCAAGTTTCTAACATTGGAGAGTCAAGACGCCATTTCGTTTAAAAATGTGAAATTATATGTCACAGCAAAATAAGAACATATGCAACAATGTTGTCCCAATTGTTAATATAAATATTAAAAGTGTATCTCATAAGCACTAATCCACAGTAAAAATATTACGTCCACAGATCTCTATATTTCCTAAAATCTCTCTTAAGACGACTAAAATGCTCAAAACTAGGATGTGTCACCTAGACCATAAGGGGATGTAAATGTTTGTTCCAACACTGCGCCTTTTCACAAATTTATTTTGTATGTCCATGTCATTTGAGAAAATGTTTTTACAAACGAAGAGGCAATTTAAAGTGAATTCAGATTTTCAAGTATACGATATACTCTCTTGAGTAAATGTGCCCTCTTAACGCGTCCTCGTTGACACGAATTTTGAACGTGATAGTTATCAGCATGTATGTTCACAAAATATGGATGTCTAATATCCAATACAACATCAACTATAATGGCACTATTGAGCACAGGCTGGTTTGTTTTATAATGCTAGTTGTGTAAATCTGGGAGTCGATATAGAATATACCACCCCAAAATGCAAAAGTGAGCGGTCATCGTCGTGACGGCGATTTGAGTATCTTATGATTATAAATGTCACATATAAGTGTTAAAATATGTTTGAATCGCGCACAATGTTTTATCACAGTCCAATAAAAATATCCTGAAATAAGCGGATTATTAGCAATTTCATAAAATGCAAGGTATCAGTCCAGTGTAAAACGTGTCCAGCGTGAAACGTTTTCAAAGCTGTTTATTAAAAACTCCCACATGCATTTAATTATATTATACTACGCTATAAGACTACCGATAGAGCCAATATACCTGTTTATAATGTTTATTATATTTTATTTTCATTCTTTGTTAATATAAGATGTTCACGAGCACGTTATTGAGGAATATTTTTGACGGCCATTTTGAATTTTCGCAAGGTTTTGCATTCAAAAGTAATATATATATCAATAAATCACGGTTTATTTTCTACAAAATGAACATAAATAAGGAATATCAATGCTTTAATTCCCCCCAAAAAATAATGAACAAAAAATTAAAAAATCAAAATGGCAACCAGTCTGTCAATTCATCTTGCGACTCATTTTGTGAGAATATCACATTAATTTTCATGCTTCTCACAAAAAGCAATGAATACGTCAACATCTGATATTTGTTTCATCAGTCTTTGACATAAGATATCTCAACTAATATAACCAAACGATAACCAAGCATTTTCCATAGTTACCTATTTATGTTACATAGACTTATTTTAATATATCCCCCTTGTCATGCATCCATCAACATTAGACAATGGCCAGTTCTCACTTATTCGTAGTCTAGCTACAAGTCCTTGTGACCCCCATCACAACATAAGTTGTGGAAGAAATGTATTAAATCAAGTAGAGGGAGGGGGTAAAATATGCTTGTATATGACCAAATCAATTTTCAAGCTCCTTCTCTATCCAATATATGAAAGGTGATAGACAGTATACTCACTTATTCCAAAAGTTTCCCAATAACATTATTTTAATTCAAGAAGGAACTATTTAAAATCATCATCTCAAGGTCTGAAATCTCCATTATCTCAAATGTGGGATACTGTTGTGCAGTACAACCTCATAGACTATGTTAAGAACATGATTTTTAATGCAGAAATCCCTTCAAAACAAGAATTTAGAACTGTAGTCTACGGACGTGTCAAGAGTTTTCACAATTATAGTACTGTTTTATCATCATTAATGTATAAAAATCTAAACGTGGTGACAGGATCGTTGTCTATCCTAAAACCGAATGTATGGTGGGTGATCGCAAAAGAAAACCCCAATGTATTATACCTCTGTAAAATTATGGTCAAATTATTAACCTCGACATATTTTAACAGTAGACGCCGTGAGGGTGACACAACTTTATCAGAAATCTGTATATTTTGTGATCTTAACGAAAGAGAAAGTGTTAAGCATTTCTTGATTACTTGTCCAGCTTTTACTGATGTTAGAAAACCCTTACTCAATTTAGCGAGGGGTAATCTGAATGTAATGAACGACGATTATATTCTTAAAGTGATTCTAGGAACTGTATACAATGATGATAAGGAGACTCTGTTACT